ATATATATATATATATATATACAAACATATATATATATGCATACATACATAGAAAGTAAGATAATATATATATATATACCTTTTCGTTTGAATTTTAATGAATAATAAAGATCATTAATAATTAATACGCTAAAAATAAAGATACAATTGACCTATTACTGTCAATGTCTAAATATAATACTCACTTGTAAGCAGTAATTTAAAGTTACTTTGAACTTAGGAAAAAATTTATTCCTAAAGCTTTTCAGACTATAACTCTTCTTTCCTAAATAAGCGAGGACAACAACCTTCATTCCACTTGTTGTCATTGCATGATTTAAGAAAAGTAAGAAATATACGAAAATTAACACTTAAATGTTACAGTTGATCTATTAGACTGCTTAAAATTTGTGTTTATCTGCATTTCTTTCATGCATGACTTACAACAAGTTAGTGCATGAAGGACTATGTATCTCTCAATTACACTACAATGCGCAGTCATTGAAATTATGGGTGATTTATGTTTTTATTTATGTTTTAGTATTAATCTAGAATTCGCTAATGGTCTGAAAGACCAACTGTAGCACATAAGGATTAAGAGAATAATTTTTTATATTATGCAACTAAAGCATTGCTAACTATGAGGTTGAAATTAAGAAATAATTGTATGTTATCGATAAGCAAAAAGTCAAAAGGCACCATGTTCCCCCAGTATCTTATAAATATCTCATTGCACCTTAGAACAGATCAAAATGTATATTTATATTCATTAATAAATAATATATAAGTAAAATCAGATCATCAAACGAGTCTTTTACCTCGAAGATATAAACAGTACTTGATATTTTTGAAAATACAATCTCAAATAAAATTTTTAAACTGATTGATATATACTATTTTCATAAATAAATTGACAGCGTTTTACGCTATAAGAGAAGGATTCAAGAGTTTTTATATGTATATTAAAACTTCAACACTTACTCTATGAATTCTCGATCGTGGATAAAAAAAAGATCGAGGCTATTTGGAACGATTAAAATTTGTAACAATCTACTGTTGATAGATGTAAACGAATAATAACAGGTCCATGGCTCAATTTGTTACACTTGAGACTAGAAAAAGTCCTCCATGGAGAATGTTAAGACGACAATTCGAGACCTAAACGTGCAAACGCCATCTCCTTTCGTAACCGTATAATTTCCCAATAAACATCATGAACTGGAACAAATGCCAAATATGTAAATTCTTTAAAAATTAATGTTTCAATTTTATACGTAATAAATTTATTCAAATTGCATAAATATCCATTAAATTACCATTATGTAATATACCTATGTAAACATTAAACACACTAGCCAAACTATTTCTTCCACCTTGATTACAAGAAGAATAATTTCACTTTAATTGCCATATCATCAATTTAAATGCGTGAAGAAATTGTTCATTATTTAGCATTGTAAGCATAGAAAGTAAGATAAACTACTATCAAACATTATTTTTTAATTTTGATTGCATTAATGTACTATACTTGTAGCCCTAAATGAAATCTGAATCTGGGATTTACCTGAGCTTTTGACAAGGCCACGCTCTATATAACGTAGATAATTCAAGAAATCACAGACCGCTATAATCTATAAAAAAAATATATATGTACATACCTTTAGTTTTTACATTCTTTACAATATGAATGACTTATTAAATTTCCAAACTCACTCGGTTGCGACAAATTTGTGATATGCTGTACCACTGATTTTCTTGATCCCCAAGTCTCATGCGATAATAACATTGTCGCGGTGCTTCCAATAATATACACTTTCTGAAAATAATGGAACGCTTTTTTTTGTCTTTTTTTCAACGTATATTTATTACGAAGAATTTTTATCGGTATCGTGTTCAGATAAGTACTGTAACTTGTAACTTACTTTCGAAAAGTAAATTTAGTTTTGTCACTGATGGCTTCGATAAAGATTATACCATCGAGAACAGCTTGTCTAACTTTTGTACCTAATTCTTTATTAGGGAAATCAAGACATAGGTCGATGTCTTCTTTAAAAATTCTGTCAACAAAAGGATCATCTTTATCTACACATGGGTTAGTTTTCCATTTAAGAAACTCTGTATGAACTCTCGGATCAACCTCGAGACCAAAATCTTTACACTCTTTGTCTCTTTCCTTATCTGAATCCTTTTTCCAATCTCTTTCCAAAGTCTCTCGATCAGATGGTAATGATGGTCTTTGTTCTTTTAACGGAGAGTCCGGTGGAGAATGTTCTCGACCGTATTTTAAATTGAAATGTGACGGTGACCTAAAAGAAGAAACATCCAAGGTAGTTAATGTATTTGTAATTTATTTTTAAAGTACTTTTACCTTCGATGTTTCCTCGCAAAAAGACCTTGTTGGCCATCTTCTACATTTAAACGACCTTTCGTGTCGATTTGTGGATGTAAATGAAAGTTCGGTTTTGCTGGTGTTGAAGTTAACACTAATGTTTTCAATGCTGCGACTTCAGCAGCCAGAACCTCAACTTTCATACGACTTTCCTCCAGTAAACGTTCGGCTGTAGCCTGACGTACATTTGCTTCTCTAACCATGTTGTGCGCTTCCTGTTTCATACATAACATATTGATTTACTTTTCATGATTATTTTCCTATATTACGTTAATAAATCTATTTATTTTTTACTTGAAAAAGGCTGGCAGTGAGTTCCTCCAATTCAGTTTCAACATCCTGCTTGATCCTCGATAGTCGAGTAACTTCTTCATCTTTCAATTTCAGCTCCTCATGAGCTCTCTTAAGTTCATCTTGTAATTTTGCTACAGCATGTTCCTTTGCTTCAGCTATAGCCCTTCCCCATTGTAAAGTAGTCGGTGAGGGTAACTGATTATTATTTTGTTTCACAGAACATGGTTTCTCGTCGTTTTCTGAATTCTTGAATTAAAACAAATTATGCTATTGACTGTATATCTGTGATCTGTTAAGGTTTGTAATAAAAATTACCTGAATTTCATTTGAAGGTACTGGTATTTTTGAAGGAATATTACAACAATTGATTTTTGACGAATCATTGATGAGATCTTTACTATTTGTTAAAATCTCTGCATCCACTTCATCAAATGTGATAGGAGATGGTTTTATATTATGATTTTGATTTTCAAAAGGTTTGTGTTCATTCCCATTCAATCTTGCCAGAATGTCACAGGATTTTGTGAGTTTTCTTTCTTCCATCGTTGATGAATTTTAATATCGCAATAGGACATTGTGGAGCTTTCCTTTATACTTGACTGAAAGAGCAGCGTTGGTTGAACTAGAACTAAATGTAATAATTATTTATACGATTTCATATTTTATTTAGAAGTAAAGTAAGTCATTCAAATTTGACATTTCAACAGTATTCAATAATTGAAATGAGTAATTTATGAGCATCTCGCGCGCGCGCGTCCGTGGACGCGTGCGTATATGTGGGTGTGTAATCTCTAAGTCTAGAAAAAGAAATGTAATACTATGAACAATCCTGATGTTAGTGTTTTATGAAACGGTAAATTTAATAAATTTGTACTGAATTATCTTCTTATTGTATGAAATATATCAAAGGATATGTAACACTTAATTTATTTATTTAAAAATTTAGAGAGAAAAGTAACTAATATTAGCTAACGATAGCATTGCGATAATTATTTTAATTATTATATATAGCACATTTTCAATTTATAATGTTCATAGAGCGTTTAATAAAAGAATGTTTCTTAAATATCTCTCCTAACGGAGCGCTTTAATAAAGCATAAAAGATATAATTTCGTCGAATACATTTGAAACTTACGAACGTTAGCGTTCATTTAAGGATAGAAATAAGAAAAATCATGTTTTTTACGGATTAAAATGAAGAAAATGAGACAGCATCCTTGCAGTGAAAAGAATTTATCAGTATCATGAGAATCCATGTATCGATCCGAAGACGGTATGATTCTAAACTTAAGAGCATCAGAGTACAACTTACCCGTAAGCCTTTCTCTATGCAACTCTCCTGCCATTAGTAGGTTTGACGAAGACCATAAAAAGGTATTCGAGCGAGGGATGAAGAGACGTCCGATTCGTTTTCGTTTTCGTTTTCGCGCAATATGTCAACTTCGTGTCACTGTTCTATGACACGCAGCAGCCATCACCTTTTAGTGAGCCGCAACACGGTCCGACTGAACTTAGTCAAGTCCCACGGAATGAATGAACTTTCAAGCGCCACAGGTTACCTACTGTACAATGCTCGGTACTACCTCGTACCAGCCCGTACTTGAGCTCCGTAGATTATGAAGTGATTCAAACTTACACACGTCTCGAATTACGCAAAGAATTTCAAGTATATTTTAATAAGAAATTTCCGCCGTATTAGACGATTCAACACAAAACTAAATTTTAACTAAATATCTATGCTTTGTAATGTAATATGTTTTTATTTGTACAGACCTTCTTTTTTTAAAAAAATTGATTTTCATAATACGCAAGGTAGATTCATACTCATTGATCAATTTATTAAAATACTCGCGAAATAGTCGAGTGACAAGTTGACATATTAAAATCTTATTGAAAAGTTCGTTGTTCATATTTCATTTTCAAGTATCATCGTTAAGTTTCTGTTCAATAATAGCACTAACAATAAGTCATACAATCTTTGTATTTACATAACTCATTGAAGTTCACGAACATTTCAAGTACACGCTACGTAAACAAATTGTGAGTATACGCATTAGAAGCACACATTTATAATTTGTGTAAATTGCTTCAATTAAGTTCTATTAAAGTAATTTCTATTCGCAATCGGGTTATAGAAGTTTATAATGTAATTATTTTCTCACGGTTTCATTTTGTCTTTATTTGGTTATGTAGGCATGTCATTGTTTCGCAAGAAGTTCGTTTTTAATGATATTACGAGTAATAAATTTAAACTTATTAGATGTAAAAATACTGTATTCTTTTGTTTCAGGAGTTGGTGGTAATTTCGATGTATAGTAATTTAGGGTACCTTTCCGAGTTTCTCTATTAACAGCAATTTGTTTTCTCTTCTTCACCATTATGAAATGTCTGCTGTAGCATAAAATATTTTTTATATGCGGTGTTACTAACTAACCTTGTACATCCATAGAAATTCGTTGGTTTCAATTCACTTAGCACAATGGATATAGAAAGTAAGTTAATTAATTTAGTTTTCTATTCAATATTATAGTTTTTTATTGTTTAATGTTTTTAATTATCTTATTTATAAAATGCAATGGACGTTACATATATTCAATTGATATTATTTCTTGTATTATCGATTAAGTAGTTATACTTGTATTAATAATAAAACTATATATTAATGTCTATATTAATTTTATGAAATAACAGAACTAATTAAAAAAAAGAAACGTATCCAGCGAGATGGTAACCTTCAACAGTTGGCCATGGTTGTTAAAGAACTTGGAGATATATATTTTGAAACAGGAAAGTACGAAGATGCTTTGCAAGAGTATACAGAACAATTGGAGGTTTGCAATATATTAAATGACAAATTGAATGTTGCTGTAGCTCATAGAATGATTGGAGAAATTCAAGCAATTCTTGGGATTTATGAAGAAGCGCTAAAACATCAAAATCATTATTTGGGTTTGTTTTTGAAAATGTGATAATCTACAAAATTAAAGAAATGGTTATAGTAATAAGTTTTTTGTCTTAGGTAGAAGGAGCTAAGGAGATGAATAATTTATTGGAGGAACAAAGAGCTTATGCCACATTGGGTAGGACATATTTTTGCTGGGGTGAAAGCTTACCTGAAAATTCTGAAAACAGAGTGGACATTTTCTTAAATGCAAGAAAAGCATATATGAAGAGTATACGGCTGTGCAATAAGTACAATATTTCTTTTATATGCATACAATATAAGCAACGATAATTGTTAGAGTAAGGACAGTACGTAAATTCTTGATTAATTACTTAGATTGGGGGACACAAATATACAACTGAAGGAATTGATTACTATGCGAGCACGGTTACTTTTAAATCTGGGTTTAGTGCTAGAAGCTCAAAAGGAACATTCCCAAGCTGTTGATCTCATGGAAAAAGCTGCAGCATTGTGTGAAACACATCATTTAGAAGAAGATTTTCATAGAACACAAATTGCTCTAGGTGGAATTCACGAACGTCAGAAAGATTATGAATCAGCATTAAAACATTTTGAAACTGCCGCTGAAATTGATAATGCATTCTTGAAAGCAGAAGCACGACTTTTTCAAGCAGAATTACTTTTAAAAATAGAAAGATGGTACGAATCACGCAAAATACTGGTTTCACTTTATGTTATAGAGAATTTACCTGACACTGTTAAAAGTCAGGTGGAGAAGAATCTTAGAACAGGTATATTCATAGAAGTATATAATTATAAAGGAATATTTTATAAATACAATTGTAATAATATTGTTTGTAAAATCGAGTGTATCTTTTTGTAGTTGTAATTTTGCAGTCAAAGGAGGAAGCTTTAAGCACAGAAGAAAGTACAAGCGAAAAGCTGAAACTTTATGAAATTCTTGGAGACGCATCCATTGAAGCAAATTGTTTTGAGAAAGCAATTTATTATTACAGAGAGATGCTCAAGTGCGCGGAAGAGATCAAAAGCGATCGCACAGGAGCAGCTCTGTTGAGTCTAGCACGAACTTTGAAGGATGTAGGACAACATAATGAAGCATTAGAGTTTGCTCGCAAGGAATTACAGCTCTGCACAGATCCACGTGAAATCTGCAGATCTGCTTTGTTTTTAGCAGATTTAATGATAGCAACTCAAGAAACTGACGAACAAATTCAAGATGTGTATAATTTAGCTTTGAGAAATGCAAAAGTTTCTACCAATATTTCTTTGGAACATTGTGTTTTAAAAGAATGGTTGAATTATTTATTAGAATTTGGAAAAACGGACGAGGTAAAAACGGTCAAAGATAAACTAGATAAGCTGAAAGAATTATACACTAGTACAGACAGTGAAGATGAATCAGAGGCAAATGATGTCGGAGCAAATATTTGTTTGGAAGATTTGTCAGATGTAGAAACTGAATTGAGAGCTAGAGAAAACAATAAAATAATTAAAACACGAACGAAAAAAAAGACAATAATGACAAAAAGAAATGAAAAGGGTGAAACACAGCTTCATGTAGCTTGTATCAATGGAAATATCGAAGGTGCAGAGAAATTACTGACAGCCGGCCATCCAACAAATGTTAGAGATAACGCTGGTTGGACTCCTCTTCATGAAGCTGCTAATCATGGCCACATAGAAGTTGCAAAATTATTATTACAACACGGTGCAGAAGTAAATGATCCTGGAGGTATTATGTGTCAGGGAATTACACCTCTTCACGATGCAGCCGTTTGTGGTAATATGTCTATGATAAAAATTTTAATAGAATACGGGGCAAACGTGGAACTTAAAACAAATGAAGATGACACCGTATTGGATTGTCTAGAACAGTGGAGAGATCGCGTCGATGACTTGTCTCCAGACGAACAAGCTAATTATGACGAAATTCATAAAATGTTGTCTGTTATGATTCCAACTAGCACAAGAAAAGTTTTGAAACGGTCAAATAAATCCCCTCATAATTTAAAGAAGACTGTTAATGATGAAGTGGATAGTATCGAAAGAATTTCTGCGAGGGAGGACTACAAAAGAACTATAGCCAACTTAAAACATCGAAGTGACCCAATTGGAATATCTTCAACTCGCACTAAACGCATCGTAAATCCACTTTTGAATAGCGATGAAGTTCTTTTGGATAATTGGTTAGAAGATGATATTAATGAAAGCGTTCCCGAGAAAAGATATTCCGATGACAATATTATTTCTATGAAAAGGAAATCGAGCAACAGCGAAATCAGTCACGAGAAAAATTCGAAAAGGCAAAAGACAAAGGATCGAGATTCTACGTTAAAGGAGCAAGAACTCAAACTACCTGAAGAAGGGAATACCGATGGTTGCGATACCGAAGTAATGCAATCTCTGAATCAATGTAGACCTAGAAAAAGAAACCAACAAATGTGTTTATTATCGGCCGGATTCACAAAAGAACAGCTCTCTCGATCACCTTCACCTATCGAATCGTCGATTACGGAATTTAAGTTCAAAGAAGCTAATGTTACAATAAAATCAATTATTTTAAATATTTTTGTAGAAGAAAAAACATTCCGAACACAAGTGGATTTATCGAATGCAACAGAACTATCGGTAGAAGAAATTTTAATTAATATTGAACAGATGTTTTACAGTGACACCGGTTGTAAAGCAAAGTTCGATTTGAAAACCATGAATGGAATTGCAATAAATTCAAACAACGTGTTCGCAATTCTAAACGAAGGGGACATTGTGAAAAATTTAAAATGCGACATAGTTGAATTAGAAACACCTTCCATAGTTAAACGGTATGGAACTATTTGTAAAACTTACAACATAAAAATACGTGAATTGATATCAAAGTGTTTAAAGTCTTGCGAGAATACGTTTATATTGAGATTGAAACAAGAAGATACAAGTAATCAGGAACTTCTCTCTGTGTTAAAAACCTTAGAATATGAAAAAAACGTTCAAATACTCGATTTATCGAATGGAGAACTTCAGGATATGGGTAAAATTTTAAATGACTGCATTTTACGATTATCAATTTTGCAAGAATTGCATCTGCAAGGATGTAATATGAATTCAACGTGTTTAAATAAATTAGAAAAATTACCTTTGCAATTGAAATTGTTAGATCTCAGTTACAATCCACTTGGACCGACAAGTCATGAAATACTTTCCAAACTTCTTATTCCTTTGTTGCAACTTCGTACTTTGAATTTACGTTACTGTCAATTATCCAGTTTTTCTTTCCTTCAGAAGAACAGTAGTCTAGTAAATTTAGATATTTCTTGGAACAATTTCACTGAAAATGGACTCTGTACCCTTTTACAGAGACAATTGCTTAATTTAAATTTATCGAATACTACTGCATCGAACGAATACAATTTAGTTAAAAGTATTTTCAATGCAACAAATTCTTCATTTGCAAATCTGGAATGTCTGGAACTCGCTGCTTGCCATTTGTCGGATGTTGATGTAAGAAACATATTATCTCAAGCATTAAATCTTTGTAAATTAGTGTTGAAAGGTAATAGAGAAATAGGTGTACAATCTTTAAATTTGTTATTGAAATACACACCGACGTTAAGGCATATTGATGTTAGCGGTTGTAAAAGTATCTTCGAATATCCTGACCCGCAAGTATTTATCAAGAGCCCAGAAGTTTGTACAGTTATTGCAAGCATGTTTCCTGACGTATGTGATTGTTGGCTCCGTTTATGGCAAGGAAAAGCCATTATGAAAACATTATCTCATAATCTTGTAATATTCAAACCCATTTAATAATGAATTTGAAAATTACAAACTGAAATTAAATATATTTTTATAGAAATTTTTTTATAAATACTATCATAACATTTAAATTGTAAATATATATTTCACTTTCATTATCCATATTTACACATCATTGGTGAAAGAAAGTAACAACTGCAATTTATAACGATTTATCAATAAAGTATATAAATTTTTGCATGTTGAGAAATTTAGTCTACAATAAAATTTTCTATTAAAACAATGACAATATGGTTTGCACGGTATTGTAGAAACGTTCTACGAAATTATTTATTAAATTTAAATACCGTTTCAGTTCTGTCGTAACAAAAGGATTAAATTGATTCGAATTAAATGAAAAATTCCATTAAAATTTCATTAAACGTAGGTAACGAAAAATTGACGTTACGCGAAGTATCGAATTATAATTATAAGCTTTACAATTTTTTTAACATTTTTTATTAAAAGGTTAAAAAGAATCGTTATCGCCAGTACTACAGATCTTGGGTCTGTAGCAATATTTCAACAGTTTCGAATGGTTGATCGTAGATGATGCACAATGCGGATTAAAATAATTTTGAAATCTTTCAACTCGGTCGGTATTGTAACTGAAAACACGTGATTTTAAATGAATGGATGCGCTTGCGCGACCTTAACACAAGGTGACCGCCTCAAACTTGCCAAAGATGAACGTGTTACTCGCTTTTGGGTAGCATACGTGTGCTGATCATTCACGACACCGGCGTTGACGCATGTGTTGTGAAAACCGATCAGTTTTGTGGTTAAAAATCATCGAAAACCATAACTTACACAGTAGATCTTGTTTACCGGATTGTTAACTTCGAGGAGACACGCCGAACCCGCGTTGTTTGTATATAACGATTTGTGTAATAACAAACATTAAGAATTATATAGGTTCGTGACTGTAAAAGTAACATCGATTATAGTGATAGAGTAGACAATAATCGTGTACTGTTGTAATAAGTACAAGAATGCAAATTCCAGATAAAATAGTACCGAATTAAATTGATATCACCACAACAAAGCAGAGCAGAGATGTCGGCTTCAGATGTGGATCACGAGAAGAGAAAACAAATTTCCGTGCGAGGTATCGTAGATGTCGAAAACGTTGGGAACTTTAAAAAGACGTTCAATCGACATTTACATTATACACTCGTGAAGGATCGTAATGTGGCAACAAGTAGAGATTACTTCTTCGCGTTGGCACATAGCGTCAAGGACAACTTGGTGTCTAGATGGATTCGTACTCAACAATATTATTACGAAAAGGATCCTAAGGTACGTTCTATTATACACGTATATAATACAATATTTTCGTTTCTGTTGTATATATATATGTCTTGTTGGTTATACTTTATTATAGGACCATCATTTATGTTCTGTATGAAATATTATATCAAAATATATTGCTTCACGATCATTGGTTGATATTTTCTCTATAATTATCAATGAATTCTTTATATTGTATTTCATAGTTATATAGAAAAAAAGAACTTTCTTGCTGTAAGTCTTTTTTAAGATTTTCTTTTATACAAATAATATAAAACTTATTATATATGGATACAAGATCAACATCCTTTTTTACATTGATCAATAAGAAGATCGCAGACAAGATATCTTATTATAGAATATCTATCAAATATCTATCTTGTAACTTAATATCTACCCTTCTCTATTTTTATAACAGATTTTATGTGTTGCTTTCCATCTGTCAGATATTTTTCGATTTCCCGGTTACGTTGTCCGACGATAACTCGCGCCTCTTAATGTTTCATCGGTCAATGACTTTTCATACTATCGTTGAAAATAGAAGCATAGTCAATTTTTCCAATGAAATTGCAATTAACGCGATAATTAAATTAACGAACAACAACGATAATCAATGACCTTCACCTTTTAACGTTATGACTTCTTGGAAACATTTTTACAATTATATTAAGGCTTCTTCGGACGATAATGTGTATTTGTTAGACGAGATACGCTTTGCGATAAAAAAAGAAATAGAAGAATATGAAGTAGAATCGCAAGTGGCCATGAAATTTTCGTAACAGTATAAAGTTATGAGCTTAAATATGTATGCAATACTATTTATACAAAAATGATGCTATATCGTGATGAACCTTTGAAATAGAGATGCAACACGTTGCTGCGGCTATTTTCGTGTGGCCTTACCATCGGACTCACCCCGAGGTCTCAGGCCAAACGGTTTCTCCATTCTTTTCCCAATGCTATCTTTATGATAACATCTAATTTTTGAAACCAATCCAATTGCATTGATCATTTATTAATAATTGTTTATGAACATTTTACGAGGTCATTATGTCGATCAATGTTTTGCAATAATCCCGCATCTTATTTTGTCGGGAGCAAACAATTATCGAAAGCTAAAGAATTACGTCGCTCCAAATCATAATTATCTAAAGCTACAGAATTACGCTGTTCCAAATAATTATCAGAAGTTGAAAAGTTACGCTGGGTAATGGCGATAAAGATTCATGAAAAATTGGGGATCGCAAAAGAAAAGAAAAGTGAAGTATAATGTATAACTATATTGACGATTGAAGATTAAGAAAATTAAACGGGAAGCGCGATTAAGCGGCGATAAAAGATATAAATGAAGAACGGTTTGGGGCGAGGGGAAAGGACAGAATGAATGAACATTTTTAGAGATTAAAAACGGGATCACAGAATTCTTTTACTATATCAAATGAGCTGATTCTTTCTGAATACTAATTCGAATTTGATTAGGTTACTGTAAACACAACTTGTTGTAAAAGTTAGTATGATTTAATTAAGAAAGATATCTCACTAACGTAAATCATGTGACGCTCCACCGGATTATGTTTTAGGATCAATATACATTATATATTAGGATATATACATATATCATGTTAAAGGTGTTTGTTATTTTAATAGTTTAGTAAACAGTCTACGAAGTTTCGAACTTTTTATGAATTACCGTTTTTTTTACAATCTTTCACTGTTCAAACTATTCAGTGAAATCTAATTTGTTACGTTATTTTAAAAGAATTTATACTACTACAAACGATTATTAAACGGCAAGAGCAATCGAAAATATTTCGAAACGAATAAACTCGTAATAAAAATGAATTCTTTTCACGCCTACTTACGTCGACTGCTGTTTAGAAATGGGTGCCAATTTATTTGTATTCATAGACCAATCCGAACGCACAAGATATGATTTATGTTAATTGATTTCTGAATGGGAACACTGAACACAAGGAATAAGATTTAATTTATAAAAATTATTATAATAAAAGTTTTTATATTTATATATAATTTATATTGTGTATAATATATATTGTTAATTAATTTGTTATATTAATATTCAATATATATTAATATATTAATTATATAAGCGTCTTTGTATTCTGCACAATTATATTAATATTGTATTTAATGAAGTATTCAAAATATCGTTGTCTGTACTTTAAATCTTGTGACAGAATATAATGCATTGCAATTAACTTCTCTATTTTAGAGAGTTTACTATCTCTCCTTGGAATATTATATGGGAAGGACACTTCAAAATACCATGATCAACTTAGGCATTCAAGGTGCCTGTGATGAGGCAATGTATCAGGTTAGTTTCAAATATATGAAAGAAAAATATGTAGATAACAATTTTCCACTGATTATTATGTAGATGGGCCTAGACATTGAGGAATTAGAAGAGCTAGAAGAAGATGCTGGTTTAGGAAATGGTGGTCTGGGAAGGCTTGCAGCTTGCTTTCTAGACAGTATGGCTACTCTTGGTTTAGCAGCTTATGGATATGGTATTCGATATGAATATGGAATATTTGCTCAAAAAATAAAAAGTGGAGAACAAGTAGAAGAACCAGATGATTGGTTGAGATATGGAAATCCATGGGAAAAAGCAAGACCTGAGTTTATGCTCCCTGTGAATTTCTATGGACAAGTTATCGATACCCCTGAAGGAAAGAAATGGGTTAACACACAGGTGAGGGTTAAATAAATAAGTAAATAAAACTATAGAATAGTATAAGTTATAAATTCTTCCATTTCTTTATTTTCAGGTTGTATTTGCAATGCCTTATGATAATCCAGTTCCTGGATATAAAAATAATGTAGTAAATACTCTTAGATTGTGGTCTGCTAAATCTCCAGTAGAATTCAACCTTCAATTTTGTAAGTAGACTTCATTAATTAATTAATGTTTACATCGATAATCACAAGTGTTTACAAAGGCGGTAATAAATTTTCAATATTGTTTTCAGTCAACAACGGTGATTATATTCAAGCTGTGATCGATCGCAACTTGGCAGAAAACATTTCCAGAGTCTTATATCCTAATGATAATTTCTTTGAGGGAAAAGAACTGCGTTTGAAACAGGAATACTTTATGGTGGCTGCAACCCTTCAAGACATAATACGCAGGTACACATTTACATGAAACTGTCGCTTCATGTTTTTTATTTTGTTTAAAATTACAACAATTCAATATGTGGTAGTAACAACTATATATCACTTTTAATTTCTATTAAATATGCATATAAACGTAATATTGGGTTTAGTTTAAAATTAATGGATACCCAACCTCAATTTTTTATGATTTCATACACAATAATAGGTATTTCTACAGAATATTATTACTTGCAGGTATAAAGCTAGTAAATTTGGTTCGAGGGAGCACCATCGAACAGATTTCGATATGTTTCCCGATAAAGTAGCTATCCAACTCAATGACACTCATCCTTCTATGGCGATTCCTGAGCTAATGAGAATTCTCATCGACGTCGAAGGTCTTCCGTGGGAAAAGGTTACTTTACTATCTATCTATATTGTTTCATTGTAAGGTATCTTACAACAAAATTATTAGACGACTATAATAAACTTTTGTGGTATAAAGGCTTGGGACATCACAACAAGGACATGTGCTTACACCAATCATACAGTCCTACCAGAAGCGCTTGAAAGATGGCCAACAAGCATGTTGGATAGTATTTTGCCTCGACATTTACAAATAATTTATCACATAAACTTTTTACATTTACAAGAAGTTTCCGCTAAGTATCCCGGCGATGTTGACCGCCTTCGTCGCATGTCTTTAATTGAAGAGGAGGGTGAAAAGAGGGTTAACATGGCGCATTTGTCTATCGTTGGTAGTCACGCCATCAATGGTGTTGCAGCATTACATTCGGAAATTTTAAAACAGAGCGTGTAAGTATTCATGAACTTTACAAGTACTTATGTTTATTAGATTTATTGGTGTAACAACGCTTGTGATTTCTTTATTGTTTCAGCTTCAAAGACTTTTATGAAATGTCGCCTGAAAAATTCCAGAATAAGACTAATGGTATTACACCAAGAAGATGGCTTCTTTTGTGTAATCCAAATCTTTCAGATATTATTGAAGAGGTGAGAAAAATTGATAATAATTTTTCTGTACTGTTTCCTTAAAAAATTCTTATATTCGTATATTTTGGTTTATAAAATTTCCAAATTTTAATTTTCAAAAATGAATCGACCAACAACTTAGCCCCAACGAACAGGTTTATTTTTATTTATGTATTTCTAGAAAATTGGCGATGAATGGACGGTGCATTTGGAACAGCTGACACAACTTAAACAATGGGCGAAAGATCCGGTTTTCCAACGTAGCGTTATTAAAGTGAAACAAGAAAATAAATTAAAAGTAGCGCAATTACTTGAAAAGGATTATGGCGTTAAAGTAAATCCCGCCTCCATTTTTGACATTCAGGTATTTCAGTAAGCTAATTCTGAGAAAATATATATACACGTCACAAAAATACATTTTATTATATAAACAAAAAATAGGTGAAACGAATACACGAGTATAAGAGACAGCTGCTGAATTGTTTGCACGTGATCACACTTTACAATCGAATAAAAAAAGATCCATCTGCACCATTTGTTCCACGAACTGTCATGATCGGAGGAAAAGCAGCTCCAGGTTACCATTTGGCAAAGAAAATTATAAAATTGATATGCAGCGTAGGAAACGTTATAAACAACGATCCAATTGTTGGAGACAAATTAAAGCTGATTTTCTTGGAAAATTATCGAGTCACCTTAGCTGAAAAGATTATTCCAGCAGCAGATTTGAGCGAGCAAATTTCAACTGCTGGTACCGAGGCGTCTGGCACGGGAAATATGAAATTCATGGTAAACAAGAATTTGTTTATTTTTATTGTATTATTTTTCTAATTAGTCTACTTGCAAACGTCTAGAATGTTTCATTAAAAATTTCAGTTAAACGGAGCATTAACAATTGGCACATTGGACGGTGCTAATGTTGAAATGGCAGAAGAAATGGGGAACGAAAATATATTCATCTTCGGTATGACGGTCGACGAAGTAGAAAAATTGCAAAAGAAAGGATATAACGCATACGATTATTATAATAGGATTCCAGAATTGAAACAATGCGTTGATCAGATTCAGAGTGGCTTCTTTAGTCCCAATAACCCAGATGAATTCAAGGACATCGCCAATGTCCTGCTTAACTGGGATAGATTTTACTTATTTGCTGATTATGAAAGCTATATTCAAATGCAAGATCGCGTTGGTAAAACTTATCAAGATGAAAATAAATGGGTAGAAATGGCAATTCATAATATTGCTTCATCTGGAAAGTTTTCTTCGGATCGTACAATTGCTGAATATGCTCGTGAAATTTGGGGTGTCGAACCCTCTTGGCAACGACTTCCCGCACCTCATGAACCACGAGACATTTAAATTATAATTATAATTTCTTTGACCTGCTTACGTTTTCGCTTTTTACGCTCACGACTGAAAGTCGTTTTTTATTCTTTTCCTGTTTTTTTTAATTTTCTTTTCTTTTTCTTTTATTAGACAAATATTACATTTAAGAATATTTTATTAGACTAATATTATACTCTTGAGCAAGCGTGAGTAATTTTATAGAAAAAAATGGTCATTGAGTTGGTGCCATCATAATGATAAAAATGATGAAAAAGAATTTCCAATAGAAAGAAAAAACTGCTTCCAAAATATAAATATTAAACAAATAATCCATATATTTATGTCATTTTCTAAAGAATCAATCTCTGTTGTATTTTTACACGTTTTTACTATTGAGAGACTGAAAATTATTCACACTTACTTAAAGAAGCATCTACTGCCTGTAACTTGTCAAAAACTTTGTTGGTAATGACCATCAACTAATCAACAAAAAGAAAAAAAAACTGAATCCATGATGAAAACTTACCATGTTCCTACATTCTAGCTAACACAACTTCATTTTCTAGGGAAACAAAAATGAGAACACTCTAGTCGAAGGAGATTGTTAATAAATACATCAAAAGTTATTTTTCTCACACTTTTTTACATATGAATAAAGTATCTGTTATAGAGTTGAAAAAGAGAATAGAAGACGAATTTAATAATTGTTAATCAAGTCGGATACTTCTAGTGAAATAAATAGAATTATTGATCTTTTTATCATAAACTTGAACTCATTATTATGATATTATTAACAATATTTAATTATATATTTAATAATGTTTATGTTGTATTAAAGTTTATTAGTATTTTAAGACTGCTTATTGCCAAGTTTTAGAATAAATTTTGCAAAAACCAATCATGGTTTTTCTATGGCTACATGTGCATGTAATAGAACTTTTAAAGCTTGTTAAGATAATCGTTAACTACAACAAAAAGAAAATTATATTTCACCCATGCAATAAGTGTACACTGAATTGATTGACACATTTTCATTCAAGATCACAAACACACACACGGAATCTGAAATAGGGTAATACTCCAATAAATCACTCTTCAAGATTATCATGTCTGTAAACGAAAATGAAATTTTTGTGCAAACAAGAGAAAATGCTCGCCGAGAATTTTCATTTGTCGACGAGGACACAACATCATTAGTGAGTATCGATCGACGATATAACAATCTAGGTCATAGAGAATACGAACATAGATTTATGAATTGAAAAGTTTCGTATTTTTGTCCCTAACCTTTCCTTGACACAAAGTAGCAATACATTTAGAAAATTTGCTTATATCACACAAGATAACATTTTTTAACAATAACGCGTCGACGTGTGCACGTTTATAACGTATAAATAACGTTGTATTCTCTATTGCTCCATATCATATAATGTATTAACTAATTAAACGATTAGTCTTGCAAGCTTTAAATATCTAAATTTAACTCGATGTTTAGTATTATGCATCAGATTATGACCAGCAAAATAGAATTAAATGTACAATCACTTACGGAATGTTGTTAAATATAAGTACGTTAACGAGTTATTAAGAAAAAACCAAACATTTGTAAAGTGATGAATACATTCTAAAATAAATTTTAACAATACATATATCTACATAAGTACTTACTTACTAATACTCTCTATATATTGTTCATACAAATTGTCAAGTGAAGAATAGTTTCAAGTTTGTAGAATATTATTTCGATGTTTTACATTCAGAAATATGTTACCTTTTGCATAGAACTGTTTCAATACTTCAAAAGAATATATTCTATACAACGAATTCTAAACATGTTTAACTATTGCGTCTGTTGGGGTTACGATGAGGTTCAATTTTATATAAATTCTCTTTCATTTTAACATGATCAAAATTTGACAGAAGATGCAGCGCTTTTATTTATTTTAGTCGATACATAGAAAAACGTATTGTGAAATTAATGCACTGACAAGAGAATGTCTACAGGTTAAACAATAGTGAATGATTTCGTAGCGAATATATGCATCGATAGTTTGTAATTATACACATTCTGAATATTATTTTTCATTTCATGTTACAAATTTTATACATTTAACAATGTTGTTTTTATATCGAAACCCTATCTTTATATATACACATATATAGGTGCGCGAACGATTATCTTGTATTAAAATGAAGATGAACGGCTGCACGGAAAGAAAAATGATTTTCATGGAGGCTAATGTCGAGGATACGAATTCCAACTTTAAGTATCATTTATGTATGCAGTTTCAGCTCTTATTTTAAATATCCATATTTATAAAATATACGTTATGCAGATAAAAAAATGGAAATATAATTGTCAAGTTTTGTTATTGTACGTTATTAGTACTGTAAATGAGTTCGATGCACGTAGTCCCTTTGGCGCAGAGGATAGCGCGTTGGACTTCTAATCCAAAGGTCGCGGGTTCGATCCCCGCAAGGGATGATATGTTGTTTTTGCCCACTGAATGAATAATATATATCAGTCGATGTTGTTGGGACACACGTATTTTTACGATATTATTATTCAATACTTACCAAAGTTACTGTTATATTTTACAAAATATATAAATTATTAATACAATAAATTAATAAATGATAGTAATGATAATAATTATTATCTTCTATAAAAATATTGAGCAATAGCACTCAAAGTATCTGTATTTTTGTTATTTCTGAAATGAGTCTTTTTTCGAACACGAATATATTCAGTTGCAGAATGAATCAAAACCATTTCCATTGCGACCTCTTAAACCGACATCAGCTATTGTAATTACAGGATATATTCCTCCGAATGCATTGAGGTAAGTTACTACTAGAAAAACGTTATTAGATAAAAACAACATACTATTTATATTTATCATGTAATTATATACTTTTGTTATAGATTTTCAGTAAACATATTATGCAAAACAGTAGGTAATATTGCATTACATTTCAATGCACGATTGGATAGGGGATATGTTGTACGAAATACAAAATTCAAAGGATCTTGGGAGGAGGAGGAAACGTGTTCTCCTGCCAGCCAAACAGCTTTTCGACGGAATTCTTATATTCATATTTTAATATTTTGCACTGCAAATGCATTTCAGGCAAATATTGCATCAATGCCTGATTTTTATGTATTTTTAAAAATTTCAAAAATTTATTTCAATTGGGTTTATTTTTTTTATAGATAGCGGTGAACGGAGAACATTTCTGTGCATTTTCGTACAGAATGCCTTTAGAGGATGCAGCTAGTGTCGAAATAAATGGATCATTAGAAGACATTAGATATCGACAGCTTGAAATGTTCGTTTATCCTGACTCAAAAATATGCAAGTCAAATACTTTTTTGAGTTTAAGAGTCGATAAACCCCTTATTGACTTACTTGTATGTTCTTTTAATATTTTATTATTCTTACACGTTTTAGTATTAGTCAGATTAAGCTTAATAATTTCTTTATATAGGGAGTTCCAATTACGGTGGATCTTGAAAGTGAATTCAAAGTAGGTACTAAACTATTTATAGCTGGAAGATTGAAACTTCTTCCTCATTCGTAAGTTTTTCATTTAATAAAAAAACGTGTTATCTAACCAAGAAACTAGCATTAGAAGATGCTATTTCGATAACCTAGATCTTGTAATATGTTGTCAGAAACGCTTCCCAAGTAATTCTCAAGGAATTTTTATTATCCCTTGGTATTCCTTAAAAAGTTATTAATTATTAAAAAAAGAACATTTTTCAAGTGAATGTTTTGGACTTCTGTATCTTAAGAGCAGAAAGAGAACGTTTTCATTGTATGTACATCACATACTTTTGTTTTTAGAAAATACTTGTAAAGTGCATGGGAGTGGAAGCAGTCCAATGGATTCATCCACACTCCCACTCCAAAATAATTTAACCTAATTTAACCCAACTTATTCCTGAATTAAGTTCAAGATAGTTATTTCAAGATAATTTCAACCTGTTACGTTAGCATTAAAATATTATGACATGTATCAATTTTATTATACAATTAATTTCCGTTTCAAATTCGTTTTTCATTACGAACAGTTAGAATGTTCCACTATGTCAAGGTCAAGGTCATCGGAACAGTCTTTCTAATATATATTTAAAATGGAAATAATAATTTACATTATTCACAGTAATTTAATTTTGTCTAATTTTTAACAGGTTTTACGTAAATCTACAGAAAGGAAAAATGATTTATCCTCATCCTATAATTGCTTTGCATTTAAATCCACGGTTTTTGTATGGTAGTAGCGCACCTTACGTTGTAATGAACTGTTGGTCTAATGGTTCGTGGGAACACGAGGAAAGACATGAAGGACATTTATCCTGGATGCCCGGTCGTGATTTCCTTTTAACGTACGTTTTCCCATTTTTATTTACGTTTGATAAGAGAAAAGAAAAACAAAATATTCAATTGTTTGTTTCTGTTTAATAGAATTCGATGTGAATGCGAAGCATTTTCGATATGGTTAGGCGACAAAATGATCGGTGAATTCAAACACAGATTACAACCGAATATCGTCGATACCCTTAGAATTTCTGGAGACATTGTACTTCATGAATTAGCTATGACTCATATAATTAACTGAACGTTCGCACCAGAAATTTTACGATTTAATATCCGTTTTAATAAAAACCTGTTATTTTTTTTATTTTCTTTCATAGTATTTACATTATCGAAATTGCCAAAAATAATTTTGTACTATATGTGTATATTGTAAACATTTATACACGAAAATAAATCATATCAATCGTTACAGTATTTTTTGACGGTAAGTAAACTTGAAATACTTCCGGTCCGTTAAGAGTTAATATACAGTAGCATATGCTATGAAACGCTAGTAGTAACTTGGAAACAGCGTTTCCCCACTACTTCTACTCAACGAGTTGTCGAGATTGTGTATGTCAGTAGTTGTATGAGTGTTCAATTCAACAGGTAAACGTAGGTATGGAACGGGTAAATTTTCGTGAGGGGAATGTCACTAGAGTGCCTGTGACTTACAGTACTTAAGTACATAAAGGTACTGACGTATTACACAATCTCGAGCAGTTCCTAAAGTAAAGGTACGTAAGTACTTAGTAGGATAAGGGTGTTTAAATCAGTGCCCACAGCACTCTAGTGATACTCCCTTAATGAAAAGTTATCCTCTCCATACCTACCTGTTGAATTGAACACTCATAGAACTGCTTACAATACACAGTCTCAGCTCCTTGAGTACTGGCATTAGGGGAATGCTGTTTTCGAGTTACTAGCGTGAGGGGAGTAAATTAAATACTCCTGTAGTAGGGGAACCGCTGATCGAGAATCACTAGTTTGAGAGTGGCATGGTTCGACACCTCTAGTGTATTTCATTTTTTAAATTTGGTGGAAGTGTATGATACTCCAGATTAGTACCACAGTTTTCCATCAAGTGGCACCACTAAACAATTTTTGTTTATTTCAGAGATATTATATTGTAGCCTCTGTTTCATATAGTTTTAGATGTTTGAAAAAGCGCGAAAGCAGAGTACGTAAAGGAACGGAAAATTTTGTAACGGTTTTGATTTATGTTCTAGTAATTTCGTAACTTATTTTTTCTCCCTTATAGTTTATTTCATATTGTTTCTATCACTTTGATCGACGTACACAGATGAGACATGGCAATAAATTTGTGACTAAATTTGCTCCGAGTTATTTGAAAAATTGATAGAAATAAACAGTCGTGGAAATATTTTCGCATTACGGATTCCACAGGAATTATATTTTGATACTTTTTCAGGTTAGTCTATTTACCATAATTAAATATCACACTTTTTGTTCATTTTTATTCATAGCAGTTCACTAAACCTTTTAATTCTGAAATGTATAATTTTCAATTATGTTAAGCGCTTCTGAATCTAGCTTCCTTTTTGTACATATACTTACTGTCTTAAAGATCAGTTATATACTGTAGCAGTTATAAGGTATATATTTGCAACAATCAACACAAGCTTATGGATTCCTTGTCAGAGGATACATTGTATACTCCATGCAGAGTTCAAAAATGTTTATTCGGATCTGCTAGAAGTTCATCCAAGAAATGCATGAAAAAGATATCTCCAAAGGATAATAAAGGAAATGAATGCTTATCCGAAGAAGAATCTGATTTGGGTCCAATGTCACCTTTAGCTTTTACGGATGCAAGCAGTTGCAATAGTTCTCCAAGAAATTCAATTCTTTCTCCATCTGCAACGCCTAAACAAGCATCTTCATTGTTAATCATGTGTGTATCATGGGATAAGTCACTATTGATTGCCTTTGAAAAGGATACAAATGAACGTATTCCACAATGAAAGGAATTATTACACTGTGGAACAAATTTTAACCTACTTTGCTTTTTACAATAACCACTAGGTGATTCTTATAGTTCCTCTTCAGAAATGTCTGCAGAATCCAATGGTGCATAACAAATTTGTGCTAGCCAATCCATTTTTCGTAGAAATGTAACAGGAATGCATACAAAGTATATGCATCTACCCTTTTTTAAACTTTGATTATTAAAAATTCAAAATTTTTATAGCTACGTATTCGGGCAAGTCTCCTTTATTTTCTGCGACAAATTTTAACTGCCTATCGTTTTTAGTTCTCATGTAACACTTGGTTTTCTGAAAAATTTGACCGTTTTTACAAAAACCCAGTTTTTTCGAAAACTAGATTTGCCCCAGCAGTTTGGTTTACGGATTCGTATTTAGAGTAAGGAACTCTATAAGAATCACCTAGTGGTTATTGTAAAAAGCAAAGTAGGTTAAAATTTGTTCCACAGTGTTATTGGATTCATGATCTATATTAATTTCACCAATTGTAAATTCTAGTGTAAGAACTCCAAAGAAGTTAAAAAGAATTTCGATGACAGAGGAAAATTGTACAGTACCCAGGGCTAGAGCAGCTCTGTTTCAGAATAATAGCTATGAAATAAAAATAAAAAGCCTAACATTAAGTACAGATAGTTTTTATAGTAAATCCGACAACGAGTCAAAGAAGAATTACCAGCTTTTCAAAGAATTATCACAGCAAAAGCGACAAAGAAAAAGCTTTTCAGGAAACATGCACCATAGCAGAAAATCCATGAAGAGACACACAATAGGAGGAGTTAATGGTGGAGTATCACATGGAATTAGAAAACCAAAAGCAAAACCTAATTTAGTTACTACAAAAAATAATGGAACTGAAACTACAAAAAATGGTACTATGGAATCTGCATCAAATGTTATGAATATACAGAGTGACCTGCTTAAAGTGGACAAAATACAATATACAAAAACATCCGATATAATGCCAATTGAAAGATCTCCTACACCAGAAATTGACCTTAATAAGCGTTTTTTCAAAATTAAAAGATCTTTGAAGAGAAATAATTCAGCTATAGTAACAATAAATAATAATGTTAAATTAAAAGTAACATCAAATGGTGAAATGTCATTAAATAAAGAGAACTTACAACCTATCACTCAAGCGCATAAACGCCCAAAATTGGTAGATATTTCATTTGATACCACTGATTTGGCAGTAGACGAACCAGAATTGGAAGTTACTATAGGGAAAAATGAAGTTGCTAATATATTAAAAACATTGGAAGATGATTGGGCAGATGATGACTATGATACAATGGCTGTATTAACTAATAGAAAATTTGAGCATATTTCTCCAATAAAACCAGTAGCAATTTTGAAAGATGTTATTATGTCTCCAGCAAGTGAGCTTAGTAGCATGACCTCCACGATGAACATAAAAGATATTAGTACACCATCAACAGTTGAAAGTATTTCTTTAGATGATAATGAAAATAATGTAAAGAAGAATGAATCAAAATACTATCCATTATTTAACAAAGGTTATTGTTCTAATAAAGTATACGAGTAAGTGCCATTAAATTTGTAACGTATTTACTTATACCAAAATATTTGTCACTGATTATTGAAATTGCGAAATGAATATAATTATTATTTTAGAGATATTGGTAAAAAATCAGTAGATAGTACAAAACATACGAAAGATTGGCAATTATCAATAAAACAAAATAGTAACGAAAATCAATACCAATTAGATGCAGGACAAAAACGTTTTGGAGCAACACAATGTACAGAGTGTGGTGTTGTATATCAAATGGGTGATCCAGAAGATGAAAATGCTCATTTAAATTATCACAACAATAAGAAAAGTTTAAAATTTCCGGTATATGTCGTATGCATATACCTAGGTGTAGAGAATACATATAAATAATACATTGAACAATTCACTAATATTAGTTTCTTACTTTAGGGATGGAAGACAGAACGTGTAATTATGAATGATCCTCTTACAATGAGTAGAGTTATTTTAGTAGAACCAAATGATCCAAAACAATATTGGAACAAGATAGCAGATGTTTTAGCATATGTGGACAGAGATTTAGGATTAGCTGACACAAAACTATCCGATTATGAGAACAAAAGAGTAAGTATTGATATTTTTCTTTCTATTTTATCTATATATATGTTCTATCATGTTTTAATTTTTAGATCTATTTATATGTAAGGGATAAAACTATCTTAGGAGTTTTAGTTGCAGAACATATAGATACTGCATATCGCATGATTCCTGAATTACTGGAATTAGATTGTTGTACAGCAGAAAGTACACCTGCAAAGTGCGGTATAAATGTTGTATGGACTGATATGAAATATCGTAGGCAAGGCATTGCATCTAAATTGGTTGATATATTAAGGTATTAAATTTTTATTTTTGTAAAACTTACATTTAGATTTCATTATTGTATAATATTTACTTAATAATTTTAGAGCTGAATTTTATTATGGCTACATTATGTCTTTGGACGATATTGCCTTTTCAATTCCAACACCGAATGGAAAAATATTTGCTGAAAAGTATACCAAAACTCGAAACTTTAAAGTTTATAGTTAAAATTTGGTACAAATTTTATATTTTTTTTTAATAAAGCAATGGAAACTCAAATCATTACGTACCATTCATTTATCTTACTAGTTAATAACTAATAGTTATCTTAACCTTTTTTACATAGACTTATTTATTTGTTATGTGCATTTTTATTTGTATGAACGAATGATTGAAAAAGTAAGCATATTACTTTAACGATAATTCCAATGTATACAAAACATAAAAAAATAGAAAAGAAATTGTATTAATACTGATATTATGGTATGGACTTGTATTTATGTAACCGTATTTTAAAACATATCGCATACCATTATTCGATAATATTATTCTTATTTGTTCATATCATATATTGTTTTAAACTCATTACAAATTTGCATCGGATTCTATAATATAAATTGACCAAATTGAATTTTACAGTTATATTAAAAAACGAAAACAGTTAAAAATAAAGGTAAAGAAACAAAGTAAATTTTTTGGAATGTTTTTTTTAACGCAATTCATTTTTTTATGCGAAATGAAAAACTTTATAATGTATATAAAAAAGTATAAAACAGAATGTTCGTTGCGAATGGTTTTAAATAATAAACTTAGCAGGATTTCCATGTAACTACCATCTTCTATTATTCCTTCTGTTGGAGTAAGCATCTGTATTTGATCGTTCAAACTGTTTTTCGTGCGCACGTTTTTTCTTCCATGCGTCATGCCTATTAGCCATATTATATAATTCCACAGGAACTTCCTTTAAAAAATTTAAATTACCATTTATGAAAAAATTATCACACAAATGTAGACTTCTGTGTTAACTTACTTGATAAGCTTCTTCTAAAATATTAATTAGTTCTCCGGCAAGAGACCAATCTCTTTTTGTCATGAATGTTATGCTTTCTCCTGTGCGTCCAGCGCGCCCAGTGCGACCAACTCTATGAACGTACTCTTCTATGTCTCGAGGAAAATCAAAGTTTAATACATGTCTGAAAAATAATTTGAGGTGTATTTTAAAGTGTACAAAATGTTTAAAAAATACATATGAATAAAATTGTACAATAATATAAAAGACTGAACGTACGAAACGTCTTCGATATCAATTCCCCGACTGGCAACGTCCGTTGCAAGAAGTATTTGAACTTCTCCGCTTTTTAAATCTTCCAATGCTTGTTCCCTATCAGATTGTTCTCTCCCTCCATGTATACTTTGACAATTTATACCTTGTAAGGCTAAATCACTTGCTACATCATCGACTCTACACTTTTTTCCAAAGAACACTATAACTTTATCCTTTGGACCCATTTGACGGAAAAACTCATACATCTATTAAAATAGAAAAATTGAATGCACTATATCCTTCAATATACATTAATTACACTGATATATTAATACTAACCAGATTCGTTTTATCGTGTTCATCGATTATTTCAATTTTTTGTACTACAGTATGTACAGTAGTCAAATCAAGAGATCCAACAAATATTTGAATTGGATTTTTCATGTAAGATTGCGCCAGATGTCTCACACCTTGGGGCCATGTAGCACTAAAATGTGAAAAAGTGGTATTGTATTTTCTGCAACATGGGCAATTATTCTAATTTTTCATACAATGTACTTTATATACCTTGTCATAACTGTTTGACGATCCGGTCTTATATCTAACAAAGTTTTTCTAATTTGTGGTTCAAAACCCATGTCAAGCATACGGTCAGCTTCATCCAACACAAGATATGTAACTGATGAAATATTTAAAATATTTGCTTCGATGAGATCATTTAATCGACCAGGAGTTGCAATCACTATTTCTACTCCTTTTAGTACTAAATTGATTTGTTCTTTTCGATTACCTCCTCCGTACACGCATACCCTTTAATTATATACAACTTTGAATACATAACATATGAGAAAAAAGGTGTTGCAATGAAAATTGTTACTTACGCTTTTATGCCGTGATAAGAATATTTATTCACTTCCTTTTCAATCTGTAACGCCAATTCTCTTGTTGGAGCCATAACAAGAACATTAGGACCGTTTCGCTCCGACCGTGGTGTTTCTTGACCCTCTATGTGAATTAAAGCTGGCAGTAAAAATGCCAATGTTTTTCCTAAACGCGTTGTTAACATGAAAAGAATTGTTCACTGAATTCAGTAAATTTGAATAGCGTTTAATAAGTTAAATAACGTACCTGTGCCTGTTTGCGCAATGCCAATAAGGTCTTTACCGCTCAAAAGAACAGGCCATGCTTGACACTGTATTGGACTTGGTTTGGTAAAGCCTTGCTTTTTTATTTCTTCCAGTATGTCCGGATAAGACTAGTATAAACAATTTTTATTATGATAATATCTTTTCCTTTTTTGAATATTCCTTTATGAATCTTTTTATTTACTTACATCAAAAGCTTGTTCAAATGTTTCAATAGGATTGGGTATATCAAACTTTTCTGCATGTTTCTCTTGTTCATCAAACATATACCTGACTTCTATATTATTATTTATTTGTCTAATATGAGCTACATGTTCTTTCGTCATATTTGCAACTTCTGGGTGCTCTTTATAAAAGTTTTTAATAACGGGAGCAAGTTTTGACCACTTTTCTTGTTGAAATTCATCCTAATAAATATTATCATACACGTAAAAAAACAATCAAGTTATAAACAATTTTTTAAAATAAGGTCAAACTTCCTAAAACCTGACAAACCTTTGATGGGGCTGAAATTTTGCAAATATCTTCACTTTGCATGTAAACAATGTTTGCGAAAAAGATTTCTGGCGATACGAAAGTTAAGATGCAAAATTTTACAAAAAGAAAGGCCTTTCTCATTTTAGTGTCAGTTCTTGTCACTTCAGAAACCTTTATGTTCTGATATTCTATCAATAACTTCACTTTGCATACGAAAAATATTTACGAAAAGGGTTTTTAGCAATTTTAAAGCCAAAATAAGAACTTGTCACTTTCTTTGAAATATTATTTTTGAAACCGTTCGGGAACATTGTACTTAGTAAAAATCACAGGTAAGGGATTAAGGCGTAATAATAATTAATCCATCATAAACCCACGCGTTGTACCAGGTAATCGATAACGCTCGAATGAAGACCTAAAGCAACCCTTTGCCAGTGAAAAATTGTACACTCCATGAAATACTACATCCACTCATAACGGGAATCATACATTAAGGTAACAAAGAGTAGCTTTGGGTCTTTGTTTGAGCGTCATCGACTATGTGGTATGAGGTGCGGTATTAGGGTCTAAAACTCAAAAGTGACGACAAATGTTTCACAATATGCTTGTTTTCCTACACCTTAATCCCTTACCTGTAACTTTCACTAAGTACAATGTTCCCAAACATTTCCAAAAATAACGTAGAGAGTGATATTACAATGGCAAAATGCTTTTTCACAACATTTTTACTTTAGCTTCGGAATCGCCAAAAATCCCTTTCGCAAATATTGTTTGTATCTAAAAGGGACCCATATGTAAAATTTTAACCAAATCAGATTCGTCAGATTTTTGGCAGTACAGTAAAAAATAAACTTACACATTTTTTGCTAGCTTGAGACCAGTCAAAGTTAGTAAAGTCAATCTGTGGTTGGTTAGTTTGTTGCTCCCAGTGCTCATCCATTTTTGATGATAAACATGAAGAATCATTAAATGATTCTTCTATTAAATGTTTAGCCTGATCTTGTGCTTCTTTTGAACCAATTATAGTTACAGCAGTAGTGTAATTTCCTGTTGATCGATCAATCTATAACAAAATAATTTTATTCTAATTTCTAATAGATGAATTGTAGATGAATTATAAGTTCACTATAATTTTGAATTTTCTAAAACTCGTTTCTAAAACTAAAGTTTCTATCTTTACAATTCATAGTTTGTTGTATAATCTACAGGTTATAAAAATAAAAACTTTGTATTTTTAAACGAGTCAATATGAAATATTTTATAATTTCTTCTTACAATGTTCTAACAATTTGAATATCAACAACTTTTCATTGAAAATTTAATATTCTCTTAATTTTGCATACTAATGTATTTTTGTTTATAAACATCTTTTTAATACTTTTCCTGTAATATTAAAAAATTAATGTCAATTTCCTAATACTTACGTGAATCTTTGTATTTGTTTTATCTTGTAGTTCTCTAATATTGTATCCATTTTTACCAATTAGCTTTCCAACTTTATCTGTATCAATTTGTATAGTAAGCTTATTTGGTCTGCTGTCATAATTATCATAGTGAACAGGTTTACTTTGTTCGTTCCTGAAATAATTATTCTTCTTTTGATCTTCCCTATTATCATATCTTGAACCTTGATTAAAGTTGTGAGACGAATTTCCAAAGCTAAGTCGATTAGTATTCATTTTGCGGTTATTGTTTATACGAAGAAAAGTACTGAAATGTCATGAATTATTTTTTACAAGCGGAGTAGTAGAAAGAAAACAATTTTAAATTCTTAGAAAATGTTAATACAAATGTTAGATATTATTACAAATACAAAGTACGTACCTGTAATTAAATAGAAAAAAGTAAAAACACTTCTAATTCCAATGTATATTATTTTGAAATTTTGAAATATTAATAATATACACAGATTTCAGTTTCTTCCTGTGTAATACGTCCTCGCACTGACATTGCCAAACTAAACACAATACAAGAATGTTTAGAAAATAAAAGAGCGTTCCAAACAGTACAGCCAGGTTGATTTGTCTCCCCTCTTTCCTACCCCCTCTAGACTTCGATTCTGTCAGGAAGCATGTGGCGACAGAAGAATCTTCATACCGACAGAGTATGTTATGAAATGGATCGTCGTTATTATAATATGAAATCTACTGTTGTTATAATCGTTGAGTATTATAATTATAACTAATCGTAGTTATAATTATATAAAGAATTAATCAAATATAATTTATTAATTATGTCTACCAGTTTTAAGCTAAATTATGCTACTCTTTTAATTATATAAATACCCAAGAGACAGTTATAAGGATCCACCAATAACTCCCTCTAGCATCACAACTTGGAATTTGAATTTGAATTTTGACAACCTCAAGAGGCACGCTGATTAAGGAAGCGAATCGCTCGTACGTTTTCATTGTCAGCCTTAATAAATTTCCTATAAAACTAACTCTCCAAATTCGACAACAACGTAATTTTTAAAGCCGATAATACTGTACAAATTGGCTTTCTAAGACACACACTTTCCATGTTGCAGTTTTATATAGTTCTGTAGTTGACCGTTTGATTCAGAGTCCGCTAATGGGGCATTTTTGATAGTATTTCAGAACATTAGACAGAAAAATTCATTGTATTGTAGACGTGTAGGTTAATATTGATGTAAACTTCATGGGTGTGCGTGCATATGTATGGGTGTAGCGTGCGTGTATGCGTTGTTTTAGATAAACGCGAGAAAAAAAAAA